ACTACAGACCATAGCAAACTGCGGGGTCAACGAGTGCATGGAGCTGGTGGCAGTGCCAGGCTGCAGGACGTCCCTGGGCTGTGCTTACAGGTAGGACAGTGGAGGGCACAAGAGCTCACTCACCGCCAGGAAGCCGAGCTTGCCCCCACAGCGGGTTTTCAAGCCAACCGCCGCTGTCAGGTGGATTTCTGCCATGGTGCTGGGTGGGATCTTCTCTTCTGCACACTCAGCCAGATTCACAGCACACAGGGCCATATGCAAACCTGAGTAAGCGGAGCTGGAGGGAAGTTTACCTACACCAGAAGGGGAGAGTTAAATTTTCAGAGTAGTGCCTGCTACTAAATAAGTCATTTGCAGAGACACTATCCTGGAACAGGCAAATGAGAACTTAGTGACATGAGAACTCTGCAATGCCACATGTGCCTACTTTGTATTCAGGCACTAGACCAAACCTAATTGAAACTTCTTTCCACTGATACCAAGGCTGGCATTCACAGCTTTGTTTCTGCAAAACAGACCTGTAGAGCTAACAAATATAACATCTGCAAACCTTGGCTCGCTACATTCGTCTCATAATTGAGCCCCTTTGCAATCTATGCAAATAACACTACAAACAGGGACATTTTCTTGTTATCCATGGTGGCACAACTATAATTAATGCAAGAAGATTAGGCAGAAGGACGTTTAGCTTGGATTTCAAATATATTTGTGCCCTATTACAATTGCAAATTTCTCTGTTAAGGAACCAGCAAAACTGATCATAAGAATCTTTCAAGTGCTTATTTAATACATATGTGTATGTGTGCCTACTCTTAGAGTCTATCATCACCCACTGGCAATCTGTGCTTCACACAGCTTCAGAAATTTAAAAATTCTTCCAAAAATGAATGATGCTCCTGATCCCACGTTACACTCCTAAGCAATAGGAATCAACCAAGCCTTTGAACACCAGCGAGAAACAATTGGATTCAATTAACTGTTGCTTGGAAGAGTCCAAGCCACCACTATATGTGCAACAGCATGCAACTCAAGACACTGCTTTTTCTTAGACTGCTCTTACAGAGCCATTTCACCATCTGAAGCTCTTCAGTGTCAGTAACTGGCCTCTGAACTTAGTCTGCTTAGCTTGTAGCAGCTACCCCCAGAGGAAGAGAGGCTGAGAAGCTCCTGCTGGATCCCCACAGGATCAGCTCTGAGCATCCTTATTCAGGAAACGAGAAGGAAGAGAATAGCTTTCCCATCTCTGTCGTTACCCGTTATGTGGAGCTGATGGAGCTTGTGATATGCCAGAGCTGCATCCCGAGCGCTGGTCTTGGCCTCATCCTCAAAGCCTGCCGCAGCTTCCCTTGCCCGCCACTGATGGAAAGTCCTCTTGAGCAGCCAGCGCACCAGCGCCAGCTTCTGCAGGCTGTAGCGGATCACGTTCCAGGACAGGCTGCAGGCCAAGTCCAGGCGGGAAGCTGGCAGCGCTCGGCCTAGAACCGAGAGGCAAGTCTGCAGGTTTGATGCAGCTGCAGCAAAATCCCCCTGCGAACAGGAGAGAAAAAAGAAAAAAAGGAAAAAAGTTGAGTATCAAAAAGAGACTTATGCTACTTTACTGACAGCCTAGAAAACCACCTTCCTTAGTCTACAAAGGTAAGCAAGACAGGCAGAAGAAATGCAGACTACCTCAGTATAACCCAAACAGGCTCACTAGTCCTGCCAAGTGCCATGGCTAAGCAGTGGTGATGCTTTAGCCTCACTTCCAACGACTTCAGCTGAGGCAAGTCAATACGACCCAAGCGAACATGAAGCCAGCCTGGACCTCCATCTAAAGAATTGGTCCTAAACATCTCAGCAACACATCTCAGCCTACATATGGCCCTATTCCTGTAAAGGCTATGACATCTGGGAGACACACAAGCACTAGATAAAAAATCTTTTTCCTGCCTTCTCAAACAAAATGGATGTTTCAGGGTTGAAAGTCAGATGCTGCTTCAATCCTGGGGAAGACTTGCAAGAGGCTGGAGGACAGGAGACTGCAGCACTCCAATATACATTTTATCACCGAGAGTGCTGTACTAGTACACGCCTATAATCCAAACAGCCAGTCAGTAGTTTCCATTAAGCTACAATTGGGACAAAGTTACAGCGAAACATGAGGAAAAAAAAAAAAAAAAAAGGAAAAAAAAAAGAAAAACAAAAAAACAGCACATATGCAAGCACATTACTGACTGCTAATAAGCACACCAAAGGCAAAATTCTGAAACCTAAGTTCAGAAACCAAGACCTTGCTTCCAAAGACTGTCATCAAGATGCAGCAGCAAGGCATAAGGACTTAATTTTGTGTCTTTTCCAATACTACTGTGTGTGCCTCAGCAACTCGAGCTGAAGGAAGACAGTGATTTGCTCAAGACAACAAGCACCAAATTCTCCTTTGAAACCATACATGATAATTAACTCTAGAAATACTATGCTCTTGCAAGTGCCAACCCACATCCTTTTATGCCACGTTTATCTGCACTCCCCTCCTATACATGATGCATGTGATAGCAACAGAGTCAACTTTACCCGTGCCAAATCCAGGTCGGCTTGCTTGCGATGCCTCCAGAACGTCACTGATGACCTTGAGTGCAAGCGAGTCACAGGCTCCCCGTGCACAAGGAGCTTTATAAACACACTCAGGACAATCACTCCATTCACTAGCCACAGAATCAGTGTGGGCATCATCCAGCCAAACCAGCCACCTGCATCTGCAAGGGAACATCCCAAAGGAAAGTTAAAGTTAACCTGGACATTGAGAACTTGGCATTTTAAGCCAGTCTCAAGACTCCAGGGCAACTGTTTCTATAGTAAATTTTCTGTGGTGCAGTCCCCTCACATTCTTGAGCTGTTCTAACATGTTACCTGACTCGATGGTCAGCACATTCCTGCCAGAGCCGTGGCGCACGAGGCTGTCGGACTCTGAGGTTCCTCGGGCGTCCAGAAGGGATGTCAGAGGATTGAAGGAGAGGCAAAGGAATGTGAGAGCGCAGAGAAGTATCCGGGAGCGATCCACCATACCAAGCGCCACAGGAGGAGAGTCAGGTTCATCTTTAACCTTCAAAGAATTAGGAGTGGAGATGGGAACAAGAGGAAGGAAAGAAAAAAAAGTTTAACAATCTGCAAGACAAAGGAATATGCAAAGGAATGGGGTGGTGAAGAAGGAGAAAGTTTTAAAATTTGCTTTTAAGATCACCAAAAGCTCCAGTAAAGCTTTCCTTAGCCCAGTAAAATGAGGCTGAAGTACTTCAAGTGTCCTCACCTTCCATCTGCTCTCAGCCATTTCAGTCAACATTCGCTATAACCCTGTTTTAGGTCAGGATGAACTTTCATTACACTTACCCTTTTGAAAATCTCCTGTAAGACACACTGCTTCTGTGATACCTACACAGTGATCTGTCAGCTGAAGACAGTTAACAGCTTTCTAGCACTGCAGTTCCTTTCGGTCTCATTACCCAGAGCTGATGTCATCATCCTTTTCCGAGTTCTCTTGCTTCACTCACTGAACAAACATCAACTTGAAAGCCCCAGGCTTTATGGATCACAGACGCGCACTATAAATTCACACAGAATCTACCTGCACCGAACTCTAAGTACTGTTCCTCTAAAATGTTACATATAACCAACACCTTACAGCTCAAGAAGTAGTTTTCATCGTTCAAAAGGCATCTTTCTTTCACGGACCTTCTTCGTCCATACAATCATCTCTGACCCCTCAGCTCTACTCACCAGAGGTCTGCTGGCTCTGTCATTGAAAGCCAGGAGGATTCAAATCTGGCCCTTACGTGTCCCTGAAGTAAACGCTTCTAATTTGGTAACTTAAGTCACAGATACCTTTGCATCATCAAGGAGTGGACTTCCTGGCTCTGAATCAATGGAATAGGGAGAAAAGCCAGCCTGGGATCCCGAGTCAGAGGCTGGGGGAGACATCAGTAGAACGTTCTGGTTGAAGTCATCTATCTTCAGGTCTGCATCATTGTCAACCAGGCTGCTTAGGTCAATGCCCTTCAACAGCTCTGCAACAAATACAATAAAACAGTATTTGATTTGATGTAGGAATTAGAAACATGTATCTGTTTTGCTCACATTGGCTCTGTCACCTGCAAGAACACTGGCCACTATCAATGCAAGCTGCACGTATCTGCCTCCTTTAATGGTAAGGAAGTTGAGAGGCAGCATACACTCATGTTGACTACCTCTCTCCTGCACAGCCCCCACAACTTACTGTTTTTTTGGTTAGCCAACTTCAGAACCATGTTCTCCTGCCTCAGTTTATGGTTGGCCTGCTGTAGGTATTTAATGTAATCAATGGCTTTTCTCAGGACTCCAGACTTGTGCATCTGTAAGGAATTAACACAGAGGGAAAGCAGTTTATACAAAGAGCATCACAACCCTCACTTCATGAGTCATGTGGAAGAGAAAGGAATGGGTGTAAAGAATCCTCCAGCAGCGGCAACAAAACTAACGGTGAGGCCACACTCTACGAGCAAAATATTATACTCGTAAAGATGCACAAGGACTGGATAATAGGCCTTGAACCATTGTACCTGAGGTCCTTCAAAGGTGTGATAAAATAGTACAAACAGATTAATATCCAAATCACAACACAGTTCATGACTGAATTTCAGCTTCAAACTGTTATTTGAAAATATCAGCTTTGACACAAAGTGCCTCTTTTTTTTCAGGATGGAACTAGCTGTTGTCATTCAACTCTTTCACTGTTTGATTCTGAGGCAATCGCTGTCCCTTTTTCAACCCTGTGAAAGTACCAGCTTCTTATAGAGGCTGCAGGTTTGCAAAGTTTGTGAACACAAATAAGGTACTGCCAAACCACTACACATCACCTACTTTTAGATGCTAAGCTTCCAATTCCCCCCAGTGACAGGAGGCAACTTCATTAATGCACAGGCTTAGAGACATGAGCACATACACACAGACATTAAAAATACAAATGCTCTGCCAGAGAGAGTAAAGAAAGCAGCACAATTCTGAACTTGACTCACATGTTGAAAAAAAAAGTTTTAATATTTGAGTCAACAGGAGTTTTTACAACACAGGATCTAAAGGAATCAAACTGAAAAGCTTTGTGCAAGAAGGTTTTTTTTTCTCTCCCCAGGACAGCTGGCAGTTGAAGAAAGGGATGTGCTTCCCTACTGCAGTTACCAGGAAATGGGAATTATGCAAGCTCCCATTTGGCCAGAGTTATCAAAACATGCACTTCTGCTACTTACTTCAAAGTCTAATATAGAGTTAGACTTTACACTTTCGTTATTATTTTGAAGAAACACAACCACCGGCATAGTAAAATCAACGTTATGGGTAGCACATAGTGAATGCAATTATTTCCATCTCACAGGTATTCTTCAGTCTTATTCCAATACACATATACATATTTCTAAGCTAACACTCTCCAACTGCTTCATTTGGTAGAGCAACAAGTACCTGATGACACAAATACTTATGGCACTCAATCTGCTCTTGTTACATAAACTTACCTTGGCATCTGTCCCCATGACCAGGTCCTTCAGCTCAATGATCTTGTCATTTATAGATGACCGGTAACGCTTTTCAATTATGTTGTGCGTTGTTCTCCTCTCTCCTTCTTTAGGCGGCTCTGGTTGTTTAACACCACCAGGAACTTGCTTGATAGGTACCTTTTCTTGTCCCATCATCACTGGCATTGTGGTCAAAATGGTCCCGTTGCTCCCAACTAGGGTCTAGAAAGACCACATATAACTAGTGATCAGGTAGTAATCACAGTTTATGATGTTAAGAGCAAAAGAAATAAACAGAAGAAGATGCAGGAAAAGCTAGTCCAGCTCAAAAATGAAGAGATATGCCAATTTCCTCATCCATTCCCTGGCGGGCAGGGAAGGAAGCAGCTCAGGAAGAATCTGCCATGCTACTCCCCATACTAGTCCTGGTGGGGTAAGAAGATCTCTTGTTCTCAAGGAGAGCCACCTCAATACTCCCTCATCAATTCCTACCCACAGCAGAAAAGCACTAAGGATCTTCCTAGCTCCTAGAATCCTTCTGCCACAAGTCTCCAAATCCATCTTGACACGGGCAAAAACAGCAAATACAAGTTCACCAAAACGGCAAAAGGCAATGCTACCTCTGAAGAGGTAGCAAGGATATCAGATGAGACAGAAAACAAGCAAGCAAGCAACAGAGAAAAAATGGCATTGCAACTGATTTCAAAGAAAAACAAAAATAGGCCTATAGTTGCTTTTTAAGCTACAAATACGCTTTAAAATAAGGAATCAAGGCACTGACTGGTGCCCAGTAGTGTAAAGAGCTCAGGGACTTAGTTATCTATGCCTTCAAAAGACTGTCTCCACCAAGGCAAAGAAGGATGTGCTCTGCAATAAAACAAGGCAAATCCCACCAGAAGACCATGGAGGAAAAGCTATTTAAGCCCAAAGACACTGACAAAAAATGAGACTAAACTAACCAATCATATTTAAGAACAATTTAGATTTGTTCTAAAAAAAAAAAAAAACTAAGAAATAGTAGAAAGACATTTATTTTAACCTGAAACTTTTAAAAATGAATTTATGATCTCTATGCCTAATTTCCACCAAATTTCAGAGTAGAAAAAAGTCATGGCTTGTGTATCTGCTAGACAGACACAACCACTTCAACTTCACTTCAATGTGAAACCACCACCTTAAGAAAAAAAAAAAAGGCAAATAAACCAAAATCTTCAATTTATCTGCTACCAAGTACAAGACAACCACCAGGCCATCAAAAACGAACAAAAAAAAATGAAGCCCATACTAGGAGGTTTTTATTCTAAAAGGATCTCTCTGTTTAAACATGTGCTGCTGAACACACCAAATCATAATAAAAACATCCCTGGAGAAAACAAAATTCTCCTTGAGTTGATAAGAAGTTAAGGTCTTGATGCACAGCTGATCTCTCCAAAGACCACAGGGAATTCTCTTCTATTTGAAGATTAGCCTCAAACAGTTAGTTAATAGGTCAATAGGTTAGTTTTTGCATTCAACATATTGCTACTGAGTTGGATAAAGCTCTGAACCTCTTCTAAGTTGCTTAGCTTTCTGTTTTAAGTATGCTCCCATTCAACAGAGGTTAAAAAGAATGTATGGAATTCTTAGGTCATATTCCTCTCCTTGTCACACTAGGAGGAAAAAAAAAAAAAAAGGTAAACAGACTTGCCCTTGGTCTTTGCTGACTGGCCATGGGAGGCTGCCAAAAATGTACAATCTGTGTGTTTAGCCTTGGCAGGAACAGGGTATTACTCACTTTGGGCATGTTTAGAGCAGCATTCAAAACTCCTCCCATTTGCATCACTGAAGAACACTGATCCCAAACCTCCTCCTCTTTTTTAATATTAAGAAGTAGCAACATCAGTGAGGAAGCAGAAGGAAAATTCATACCGGTACCTGAAGAGCTGTGGTCTGAATTGGAGCAGTGAGTGCTGTGAGTGCTGGATTCTGAACAGCAGCCATAACAGGGTTACCATCTGCCTTCAGAGTTGTCAAGACAAGGGAGTCTGTTTTTATGATCTGAGGCTGGACCAGAACCTAGATTGGGAAAAAAAAAAAAAAATAAAAAAGTTACAGTGAAAGGAGAGGTAGGTACATATTTCTTTGTTTGTCTCTGTAACTAAAGATCAGTGATCAAAGATTTGTAACTTTACATCTCAGTGGATGGCAGAAGGGTGGGAAGAACCATTCTCTCCTTCACCACCTGAATTTTTTCCTTTAGCATGCCACATTCCAATGCAAGCTCCCACAATGACACAGTCTGAACAATGCATCAGAACCAGAGGATCACCAGTTTGGAAAAAAAAAAAAAAACAGAGACTAGAAGTAAACTAATATATAAAAAACACAAAATAGTTGATGGAACAGTTGAGTTTCTTTCCCCTCCAATTACATGCCAGAAGAGCCTGCTTTGGCTACAGTACTTCTTGTTGAATATTAGTGGACGTTACTTTCCTCTGGTTTAACTGAAAGGATCAGCAGCACAAACTCCAAGCAGATCAGAACCAACAGTAATTTTTCTGGCATAACACAGCATGCTCTCGTCCAACTACCTTGGTTACTCACAGAGAACACTACAGATGGCATCGTACAATTGAACCAGAATGACATTTTCATGAGTGTCCCCTAACCATAAGCATCTGAATGCTGCCCACTACTTCAAATCACATCACTACTCACAACAGGGACTCTCCTGTCTGCCTTACACAAATAAAATGTTAAAATGTTTCTAGCCAGCATAGTTTGGCTAGAAAGGACCTAAGGATACGGGTGGAATCCTGCAAGGAACAGGCTGCCCTATAAGCCCCACCACCTTCCCCCTGACAAACTGGGAGACCAGACCTGCAACAGCAGTTTCTTCTGCTGTTGGATCCCTCTCCTCACTCCAGAGCCCTCCCAACCACACCTCTAAGCGCTTTGCATAACCCTTTATCCCCATCACTCCACATTTTTACTTACTGGAACTTGTTGGACCTGTGGCGCAGCTACTGTCTGAACCGTGGCTGGTGCTAACGTTTGGATGGTGCCATTGGCAGCCTGCGTTAACACTCTCTGCGCCTGCACAGTCTGCACTTGCTGCTGAATGGTAACTGGCTGGACCTGGGAAGACGTCACCAGGCTCTGAACTTGAGGCTGAAGGACTGAAAACAGACAAGATATGAGGAACAGTCAAAAAAAAAACACGTTCAGCATTGTAGCCCATAAACTCTATCAGCCTCACTCTTCCTCTGCCCAGAGCTTCCCAGGAAGCAGCTTTCATCTAACAGATCCCACAAGTTGATGAGATTCCAACTCCTTTGATGTCTCCTGCAAAGGACACTGCATCTAGAATAGCAACTTTCCAGAGGGCAGAGAGGATTAGTTAAGAGAAAATATGAACAAAATCTTTGGGTCTAATAGCACAGGACTCTCATCACTTCAGTTACACTACACAGCACATCTAACCAGCACTACCTACTGTTCTTGGCTGACCCTAGGATCCTATTTTCACATAAAGAATTGACACCTATCCAAAGTAAATCAAGACAACTTATGTTCACAAATACAAAGGAAGACCAGTCACTTGCAAGTGTCTTTGCTCGCTAGCAGTGTTACACTTCAGATCTCAGTATTTGAAATAGGCCTTCATTCCAGACTGCCACATGGGACAGGCTGGAGCTTCAGGACTAGGTTTGTCCATTACTCCGACCAACAGAAGGACAAAGATGCTGGCAGTTACTTTTTAGAGGTACTATTTCCCCAAGTCTCCAAAGAGACGTAGGAGAGAAAGCCTTAAAGAAAGAACAAGAAGAGAATTGTTACATGAAAAGACTTAAGAACTCATTTCTAAGTTTTTCTTGTATCCTCACTGAACCTGGAAAGAAAAAAAAAACTCAACCGTAAAGCGACGCCTTGCAGGATAGGAAATTCCCCACACATATTGCAAAAGAGGGATCTTCAGACTTGGCAAGGCCAAGGACACTTTTAGAATTGGAATATCTTGGCCTTTCACATGCTCCCCCATCTAGCCCAAAGCCTACCTTGAAAGCTCGTAGCTGCGTTCTGGTATATGACCGGCTGCTGGATAATCCTGGTCTGGGGGGCAGAGCTGAACGTCGGCGTGATCATCACAGCCTGCTGCTGGAGCTGGGGCTGGGGCCGGGGCTGCAGGAGCGGCGCAGCCCGCGCAGGGGCAGGCGGGTTGGACTGGGGCACTTTGACTTGGGCGCTC